AGGGTGATGAGTCTCGGTTGATAGAGAAATTCTAACAATAAACACAGAGAAACCCCATCTTCTCTCTCCATCGTTATAGATTTCCTTTACAGTATATGTGAGAATGTTATTAGTTGCAAATTAGGGTTCAACTATAATATGGAAAAGATCTGGTATAGAAAAAACAACTGACCAATAAATTGGAATCATAAACGTGATTACGAATCAGGTGTCATTTATCAAAAGTTGGTTTCGCGTTTGTAGGAGGGGTGTAATTCGGGTTGGCCCGAGTTAGCATTTTATACTTTAGTCTTGTGCCTCAGGCCAGGCCCACTTAAAATTTGACAAAGACGAAAATGAGCCCACCCAAATTACATTCCTAGTCCCCACCCTTTAATCGTAATTCAGAGAGGCCCATTCAGAATTTGACAAAAGTCCAACTCATGCCCACCCAAGTTACGTCCTTGGTACCAACCCCAAGATGTTAATTTTCCTCATCCCCGTTGTGTACCTGACTTCCCATACCTGATGGTGTTGGGGAAGGAGATTGCCGTGTACTTGAGTCAGGCTTGAGCTAGGCTCGAGTCTGGCTCAAAAAATAAATAGCTGAAACTTTTGGACCTGAGCCTAACCTGAGAACCGAAAATTTAAATTAACCTATATAAAATTGTAGGTTGGATCAGTCCGGGTTTAGGTTGGGCCTGCCCAAGTTGCAGTTGGGGGTGTATAAGGGTTTTGACCATTCAGGGGTGGACGGACCTTAAACCGGCCCCTCTGAACCGAATTTGAAAAAAGACTACTAATACTGTCCGATGCACCTCTACCGGCATATCAAATATATCAATATTTTGAACCTTGCTTTGAATAACGTATCTTTAAATCATCTAAACAATTTTAGCTGAATCTTCAGCTCAACTAGGTGATTTTGGGTTTTAAAAACACAAACCCAAATTTATCCAAATTCAACTTTACTATTTTTTTTTCTCAATGAGACTATACAATAAAGGTAGCCCTGATACATGTGAGATTCAATCTCAAGCCTCTATTACAGCCAATAATAGGCCTTACCAATCAGCCAGTTGGCACCTTACAAATTCAACCTTATTGTTTTTCTGGCTTGCCTTCAAAGAACGGATGGAATGAGGCAAATGCATTCGGCCTTGATGAATGCATCGAAGCTATCACTAAAATGGACTTTGTTGAACAAAGACGACGACATTATTATAACCAAGAACATTGAACTCTGCCACATTCTGGAAATTCATTAGGTTTGGGGTCCATCTCTCTATATATAGAGAGAGAAATCACATTCAGATAACCCATCTTGTACGTCACCTATTTTTAATTTAAAAAAAGAAAACCAACATCCTCTCCTATTTGGAAAATCTAGGGCTTAGACCCGGGTTTGCTGTGGATGCTTGAAAAGGATGGCTGGAAGTCTGGCTCACCTAGTTTGAAAGTTGTTGGTTTTGCTGAGCAAATGGGGCAAGATCTTGACCCTTGTTTGTAAGGGATCGATGATGACCCAAGATGTTGATGCCCCAACCCTCACCGGCTTAAATGGACCCACCCATTTCAAAAACTTGGTACAGATCTCATGGGCTAACCCATTGATTAGACGTGTCATTATTTTCAATTGGTTAATTAGTCCAAATCCAATGTAAATTAGGGTAAGGCATTAATTGCCTAAATTAAAACTGATAGGTTGAGTAGATTATGAACTGGATTTATTGATTTGGTTTATCATTTAATTTCAACAAAATGAAATAGCAAAGCCAATGATAACACTTCACACCAGCCATAAAATACACGGAGCCATACCATTCAACCTCTTAATGTGGTTCTCATATATTTTATCATTGGTTTCATTCACAACTCGATAAACTAGTCTGAATTACAATGAGATGCAAGTCTACAACTGTAAAATTAATATTATTGAATTGGTCTGGCGCAGGCTCTCAAATGCAAGATATTTGCAGTCAAAGAAGATTTACCTTAACTAATAGACCTGATAATCGGATTTGTGGGTCGGGTCGGGTTGGTCATGGTGTTATTTGTGGTTGATTTTGGATTGGGTCAAGTTTTGGTTTGGGGCGACAAATGCTAGAGCCTGACCTTAAATGTTTGTGTTAAGGTTGACTCATGGATCGGTCAATCCTAACAAACTGAAATTTCAAAAAATAAAGAAAAGATATTAAAATTCTAAACTTCAAAGAAAAAATTGAAAATTCAAAAATTCAAAGAATAATAACAAATATTAAAGATTAAATATATTGGTGAAAAACTTTTAACAATACATAAATAGTCTCAATTAGATTTGACAATTGAATCAGCGGGTTAACTTATCACCCAACCAAATTCAACAGTTTTTTTTTTTAAATATTGGGTTGGATCGGGTCATTCTAGAATTCAAGCAATTATATATGAGGTCTTAACCCTGTTTTTTCGGATTGGGTGGATCAGATTTATGGATTAGATAAACTTTTTGTGAGGTCTATTAACTAAGGATGTTAATGGGTTGAGTTTGGCATGACTTCTGTTCAACCTGAACCGATTAAAAAAAACGGGATACTGAATTCAACCCGGCCCGGCACATGAATAATATACCTATACACCTAGTGAAGGCTATATTTGCAAATGTTTCAATGTTAATACGTTAATAGGTGGCATCCAATAAGATTGGGTCAAGTCAGTTTTACCACTTAACCCAGCTCATTGGCATCCCTACCTAGCTAACTACGGATGTCAATGCCTTGGGTTTGACATGGGTCTGGTTCAATCCAAATCCAATCTGCTTGCAACTTAAAAAATAGAAGAAATCAAACCTGACCCATGGCATCTGACTCAGATAGATCTCACTGTCTTACCAGTTTACCGATTGAACTATTAGATGATCCGGTTTGGGTCTGCTAATACTGGTCTTAACTCCTAACGATGAAAGTATACGTGAATTTCAAGCAGCTATCCGTAGCAAATAATGCAGATCCATCCAAGAGATATCTTCAATGAACACAAACTACAAGGAGTTTATGGCTATATTAATAATTGCCTTGTGGGAACTGGGTCTTTCATGGATCATGGATGGGCCAGCGTTTGATATACAATTGCTGCGTTATCCAAAGGGTTCAATTATGATACCAGAAAGACATGATATGTAAAAAACTTATAACTAATCAATCGAAATCATAAAAGTAGTAATCAATTAGGTGGGTTTTCATCAAATTTATGGGGTTGTGATTGGTCAAAGTTTTTTTGTCGACATCATCAATTTTTCACTTCATAAGAAGTTAACAACTGGAATAAGGGCCTGTTTGGGAGAGCATCAATTTGGATTGAATTGCCTTTATAAGAAGTTAACAAAACAAGCTTTTATCGGAAAATTGATTTTTGATTAAATGAAGCATATTTAGGCCTTTGAGATTYTTCATCAAATATAGCTTATAAGCTGTCTAAGTGGGGTCTATCATTGTGTGAAATTCCTCCCAAATAGGGCTGAAAAATATCTAATTGTCCAAATTTGAATTAGAATTCAATCTCATTAAGTTTTATCCAATTGGAGTTCCCAAGCACACCACGTAAGCTTTCCATTAAACTAGTTGGATTTTTTGGGTGACAACAAGCCTTTACAACTTGTTGATCTTACAGGTCTCTACCAAATCTTGATTGGTCTTCCAGGTCCCAATCGAAACCCCTGTCAATAGATCTTATAAGTCTCTACTAAAGCATGACAGGTCTTTCAATCCTTAAATACCATTCTTTTACATTAGATATTACATTGAAGGTTACATATAAGGATATGCCTCTCAATAGGCTGAAGGAACAACTACAAGCAAATCTGCTTAGAATATATGATAATACTATGAAGATACTAGGCTAAAATGGGGCTTTTCTTATCCTTGAAGCACAAGGGTTTTCTCTCTTTCGGTTAATGGGGAAGCCAATAGATGAACTCTTTTGCTAGCACTCTATATATATATATATATTTTTTTTTTATCTTCATTTTAAACCCTTTGGAACTTACATATTAGTCCTCACTTTCTTCCTCCTCACACATTTTTATATGTTAAACAATAGTCATTTTTTAACCATTATTTGGACATTGAAGCTCATTAATCCTCTATTAATACAATTTAAAATTGTTTTCCAATATGTTTGAACCATTTATGATGGAGGAAAGAGCTATTTCAATTAATGAGCACTGTACTATTTAGAGCATTTTACCCTCCCAAGTAGTCGATTATTTTTTCCTAGTATTTTACTATTTAACATCTCCCAACCTTAGAACACTTAAAGTTTGGGAATTAATTTATTAGGCTTCAAAGCGTGATTTATTTTATTTTATTTTATTTTTACATTTTTAGCCCAATTAGAGTCTAGAAAAACCTACAAACCAAACCCCAGTTCTAGTCATTGGTCTCTAAGATTGGTTAATCAAGTTTGATATCATTTAATCCCATATTATATATAATGCATCTGATTACATCAAGCCTTTAAAAAAAGCAAATTAATTACTTTTGGAACTTGATATCTTTTTTGATAGCAGACTTTCATTATAAACAATTGTTTTTTCAACACTTTTGAACTCATATGATGAATGTTGCTCTACAACTCCCCACTTATTTTTCAAACCATTATTATGTAGGTTTAGTCAAATTCTAAAACCTTAAGAGTATGTTTAATTCTTTTACCAAAAATAATACATGACCAATCAAATAATTTCTCATTTATGATTTAGCATCAGCACATTTAGAGGGTCTGATGATATTTGAGATTGCGTGGGCGGGGCCAAATGTTGCAAAAATTAATTTAAGGGACTATTAGTTTATTTCAATCCATTTAAAACATGTGGAAGAAATAATATACCTATCCAATAAGCTTTTCACTTCAGCCATTTCAGCTTGAAGAAATAATATACCTATCCAATGGCAGCAATTTAATTGGAATCACTTTGTAACTGGAAGTTCAGAAATATAAGAATTGACATCTCCGCTCCACAACATCGCACAGTATATCTCGTCGTGTATTGGAAACATCTTCCGATGATGTCTCCGCCCCACAGCGTCCCACAGCACATCTCCGCTGGAGATGTGAACTCGAAATATAGATCTCTCTGGAGAAACATGAGAAGTGTGTGATGGTTTGCTTCACCACGTCTACGGATAAAACGTTCGCCACGTCAGCTTTGCCGCCGAAGCACATAAGACGCAAAAAACCGCAAAAAAGGGTGAAGGGAAAAATAAAAAAAAGAGAGAAAAAAGACGTATTGCTCTACATTTTCAATTTTCTTCAAATATTTCATTTTTATAATCTTTTTCCTCTCCGTTTCTAGCAGTCTCGTTGAGCTCTCTAGCTTTTCAAATCCACCGATTACATCGACGAAGAAAGGGATTTTTTTTCTTGAAAATTTTCGTTAAAGATGGCAATGAAATTACAGCAGCATAGCTTCATCTCTTCAAGGTTCTCTCTCTTTCTCTCTCTATACTTTGATGTGTAAATTTCTTTGCTAGGTATGTTTGGTTTATTATAAAATGCTTTTCAATTGAAAGAAGTTGATCATCTTCGATTAGGTTATCCGAGATTATAAGTTTCTATTAATCTCGGAGAGTTCTGTTTCGAGGGAAAGAAACATGTTAATTATTGTCAATTCATTTTCTTAATACTTCTTTACACTAAATTCTATTCTCGTTACTTATCAATGCCAGCATACACTGGTTAAATTTTTCTGGTTTCTTTCTAAGGGAGTTCATGAGCTTGCGGTGGCGTTTCTGAATTTTTGTCATACGATGCTTTGTGCTCGGTTGGATTGAATTGACATTAGTTCTTAGAATATAATAATCAGATTGGGTTGTTCGTGCTGCATTCAGTTTGAATGCTTAGTGCCAACGAGGGACGTCGTTGTTTTTAGCGAATTTATATTCTGACACATGATTTATGAGTATTTGGGGCGTAAAACTGTTCGTGTTTTCTTTCTTTTCGTTGTATTTTCACTAGCATTTGTTTACAACATGTCAAATCATTAACAACCAAAGCAGAAGTTGGGCAGCAAGAAGGGTAAAAACTGTAGAATTGGGTGGGGATAATGGTCACTGGGATTACCAAAACTGTTACTTAACAACCATTCGAACTATGCAACTGCTATTGTAAGCAGGAATTAGAATTGGTGACCTGCTTTGTAAACACATGACCTCTCCTCTCTTTAGTATCTTTCTGTGAACAATTGAACTATTTTCACGAATGAGAAGTTTTTGTTTTTTTATCAAAACTGAAACAGATGAGAGATTCTAGTGGTTTCTTTAAATATTTTGCAGCGGAAAAATAAAAAATTGAATCTTTATGTAACCAAGATCACGCCCATGGTGGTGTACAAAAACTTAATTCGATCCAAGATGGATTGCATGCCTTTTTGGGTCGATTTCAAGAATGCTGTCAAGATTTACAGTTAGGTTTCTTTTCTTCAGCCTCACAATTGTTTGGCCTCCAAGATATTCCACATGAAGCAGCAGTAGATCAAAGCTCCAAATTCCCTTTCTTGAGTTCGATCTAAGAGAATAAGGAAGAGGGAGAAGGGGGTGATTCCAATATCACTTTTTTGATAAATGTGATTCCAATATCGTTCTAGCAACCATTTTCTTAGATTAGGTTTTTTTTTTTTTTTTCCCGGCAGAAAGAATGACTTCTTGAACCCTAGGGCCGCCCCATACACTCCTTTTATAGAGCTTATCTCATAAGTTACGCTCCTGTTACAATTAGGACAGCTTATCTCATAAGTTTCCCATAATTGCAATTAGGTCCCTCCACTAAGGACCCTCTTAGTGATTACACCCTTTCTCTTATACTTTGTTTGCATTTTTCCCCTTAATATGTGTGACCTCTTAGGTTCAATACTATTAGGTAGTAGTAAATGATGCCAAACCCCTTTAGCATCCTAGATAGAACTCCTTCCATCTAAATGAATAAACTCTTTTAATTTTCCTTTGAATGTGAACAATTGATCATTATTCATAGCGCTTCCACAAATCATGAGTGACACCTAGCAATATGTCTTGACCACCCTAATAGTTTGAATTCGAAAGATTGAACCTTTCTATCTATAGTTACCATGCAATAAGATCCTTCTATATTACAATGTCTCAAAGGAGCAAAGGGCCATGGTGAATATATCGAATGCTACTGGCTTAATCATATGTCCCACTGAATTGGTGACAATTGGAACTCTTTCCATAAACCATACTGCCTTAGCCAAGGACTTCTTGAGTCATCAATTTCAGCTGCATAGGACATTCTTCCTCCTCATGGAGAGTGATAGATTCCATTTTGTGCATTCACATTACCTCCATGCATAAGGCACTATAGCCGGCACGTGCATGCTTAAATCTTTTAGTTAGGGCACAAGTGTTTGCCCCATCAAGTTTTTGCATCTCATACACAAGATATCCATGATGCCTCAGGTCTAAAGATCATGTATATAACTATGATGATAGAAATAGTTATTCAAAATTGGTTCCATGTGACTGTTCTACTAATGGGTCAAGTTTAGTGAACTTGTTCTCTAACAACCACCCACACATTTGCCTTAGTGCCTCCACCCAAGTGACTTGAGGTTCATCACCCCTTAAAGGCGAGCATAATATGTGCTAGTCTATCCGGATTATCGAAGCTCTTTTGATAATCCTATGACTAGGAACTATTTTAGGATCGTGTACAAATGATAGAGTATCTCAAATTCTTAACACACTTAAGAATATACCAGCTTGGCAAAGATACCATGGACTATTCATGTAAGCAAAAAGACATAAATGAAAATTGCTCAATTTGTATTAAAGTATGAATAGTACAAGTTTTCCCTTTCACACCGTCACTAGATTGATTTTAGGGAATATTACTAACAATTAGGCTCAGTGTGGAAGGAGTACAAATACAAATTTGTAGAGTGCAAGACCTTAAATTTTGTATTATTTTGTATGTATTTGTACTCCTTCCAAACTGAGCCTTAAGTACAAAGATGTAGAAAGGGAGAGATAAACTCTCTTGGCTTTCCCATACTAAGCAGTAGGGGTGGCTACGAGCCGAGCTTCTCACGAGTTATTTGAGCTCGGCTCGTGAAAAGCTCGGTTCAGCTCGGTTTAAATTGAGCTTCAAGCCGAGCTCGAGCTTGATATGTAGGCTCGTTTTCTAGTCGAGCCAAGCTCGAGCTTAGTGAAGCTCGGCTCGTGAGCCTAATCGAGCCTAGTATAATAAATAAATAATTTATTATATATATAATAATAATTTTTATAATTCTTATTTTTTTGTATATAAAATAAAAATATTTTTTATATGTATGTTTTTTATTTTTCATATGTATAATAATAAATAATTTTTATAATTCTTAATTTTTTGTATGTAAAATAAAAAAATATTTTTATATGTGTAATTTTTTTTATTTTTTTAGAAAAAACTTGGCTTGCAGTCGAGCTCGAGCTCGAGCCTAATACAATTTCAGTGAGCCAAGCTCGAATAGCCAAGTATTCGGCTTGAATTTGGCTTGAATCCACCCCTACTAAGCAGCAAGTTTACAACAAAGCCCAAAACAGCCAGTTCCTTCCCACCCCTTGTTTAGCCAATGTATTAGCAAAAGAATTTGCATCTCTTTTCACCCCTATGTAAAGTCACTCCATTCCTCGTAACAGCCACATGATTTTCCTTTTCTCAAAAATGTAGCCCCACCACCTAGCCTCCTTTTCCTGTTGTAGCCAACTTATAACCAGCTTTGAATCCTCTTCAATTGATAGCTTTTGGATGTTCAATTCCTTAGCCTTTTGAATTCCTTCCATTACAACCAATATTTCAGCCCTCAACGAGTCACCCACCCCAATTTGGGCCTAGGTAGAGAGCAATAACTATTCCATTATTGTTTCTGAATACTCCTCCAATGCCTAAAGGACCCAGATTTCCCTCGCTACCGCCATCAAAATTCATCTTTATAAACCCACCCGAGGGTGGAGATCAAGAAGTTTCATACATTTTGTTTAATCAGTATGAGAATTTCATACATTAATGTGTTATTTCCTAATGGGCACTAGTATATGCATTTCCTCTTGGATTTGTGGTGCTTTAGGGAGTTGATTATGTGCAGAGTTAATGGACACATGCTTGAGCATAGACAAGGGCTTGGGTACAGGGTACTTGAGGTCACACATTGCTTCTTGTATTGTCACAAGGGTATCTAGCTAAATTCTTTTCTTAGTTGTCGGTGGATTTCATTGCAGGATGTCCTTGATTAACTGATTGGTGGTGGTTGACAGGAAAATTTGATACATCCAAGGAGTATTGATTTCTAGCTAAAATTGCATTTTCAATAACACCTTTGAGATTGTTTTTATATCCGAAGACTTCCTTGTAGGTTCATTGAACCTGGATTAAATTCAGAAGGAATCAATAATTAGTTATATGTTTAGTCCTCCATATAAAGTGGCTTGCAAGGATGAGTTTAAAATTTCATTTACAAAAATGGGAATTTGGTAAGTAGAGAAGTAAGGAACTTGGTGGCTTAGGGATTGGAAGCATCTAGAGGAGGAATATGGCGTTGTTAGGGAAATGGTTGTGGAGATTACCGAGGGACAAGGACAAACTGTGGATAAGGGTGATTATAAGCATCCATGGGCTGGCGGATGATGGCTGGGATGCCGGAGTTTTGGCTGGAGTTACTAGTGTGGTGCCTTGGAAAGCTATTCATGACATCCTTCCACACTTCCTACCCTTTGTTAGGTATAATTTTTGTTCTGGGAATTGGTAAGATTTTGGGAATGTGTGGGTGGGGGATTTACCACTTAAAGATCAATTTCCTTCTTTATTTTCTCTTTCCAGTTACAAAAGTGAGCTTGCTTCTACTTTCTCATCCTCTTCCAGTTTAGGGCATGAACTAGATTGGGACTTGGGGTTTAGACGGGGTTTCAGAGATTTAGATGTGGACAATGTCTTGACTTTGATCCAAATTCTCCAAAAGGTTTTCTTGGATCCCTCTAATTTGGACTCTTGAATTTGGACCCTTTCTTCCTCTAGTTCCTTTACTTATGCCTCCTTTGAAGCCCTATCACAACCTTCTTCCAGTCATGGGCATTCTTTCCCTGTCAAAGAAGTGTGGGGGAAATCGGTCCCGCCAAAGGTTAGGGCACTCTACTGGGAAATATTCTTGGAAAGAGTTAACACTTGCAACCTACTTCACAGAAAGAAGCCTTTTTGGTGCTTGTCTCCTAACTAGTGTACTTTTTGCCAATGGTGAGCCTTGTTACCACTTATTTGTCTCCTGCGGCCCTTTGTTTCTTCTATTTGGGTTTGGTTTCTTTCTTTGTTTGGTTGCAGGTGGACTCTCCTACCAAGTCACAAGGCCTCTTTGACTTTTCTACCAGTAGCTGGACAAAAAAGAGGGGAAGAATATTGTGGAGATGTACAAGAGCTGCGGTTTGTTGGACAGTTTG